GAGTAATTACTGACAAAAGTTTTATTTTTGGATGAACCCTTTAATAATTCTCCAAAAAAGAGTAGTTTTTGAAAGGAAAACATTCTTTTTGGTCACGATGCACTCTTGTTTCCTCATTATGGTGTTTTCTAAAGCGCTACTATTGCTATTGCTCATTCTTATAGGGATTTTCAAAAAATCCCTAAGTATTAAACTTTGGCATTTAAATCATACTGTACTATTTTTGCTACAGACATGAATCATACGTCATATCATGCGACTTATTGGGGAGAAGTGTGAGATTCAGGAGTCTATGATGCAGCTTTGTAAAATAAGAGAGAAAAAAAGGATTAAACTGATTTCTATGATTCTCTTGTTTCAATGGCTGATCTGATTACTAAACTTCTCCTCTATCCAATGTTGGACTATTACCTCTTCTCACACTGCTGTGACGTTTCTCCGCACCAGAGCCTGTGCTTTTTAATGATGCAGATCCAATGCAGCTTAGCAAAGATTTACTAAAATTGCGCAAATACAAAAAAAAGTTTGGGGTTGGTAAAATTTTTTTAATGTTCTTGTCTCTTAATAAGCAACAACAGAAATATTGTCGAATATTTTGTTACAATATAAATAACTGTTTTTAAAATGTAATGTATTCCTCCACTCTTAGAAGAAAATGTTCGATATAGAACCTTAAACGGTTCCATCTGCGCTATGTATTTGGAACCCCTAAAGGTTCTATACAGAACCCTTTTTAAGGGTTCTTTGTAACCAGGAAAAAGGTTCTAGATGGAACCTTTTGGGTTCATTCATTATCATTTGTTTTATCTTTTCCGGATTAAATATTTCATATTATTGACAAACATCAACACCCTAAAATGTATTTATGAATGCATGTGAATGATCACAAAATTCAAGATATGGGGGTTAGAAAATGTATATTTTTATATCATTTTATCAATATCACATGAAGAGTGCCATTTCAGTTACTACAACAGTTTAATTTAGTTGCAGAATAATGCAATATATGATTGAATAATATCCTATAAAGAACCTTTGTGCCAAAATGGTTCTTTCTTGTCATTATAGAACCTTTTTTAGCATAAACGGTTCTTTGGAGTTGAGTAAAGAACCCTATGCTTCATATATAGAACCCCGACGAACCCTTTTTTCTAAGAGTGTGTAATGGTAAATCTCCAGAATATTTGGAGACAAGAATAAGCCAGTGAGCATAAGATCCCATTCCCAGTTCACTGATGGTTGTAACTGTGTCTTATGAGTCTCTCTGTTTCTGCGGTTTGATTTTTAAAGGACCCTTGACTTGCTGATAGCCAAGTCATTTCACAACAAATAACTAACACTGACAACAACAAGATCAAATAATCCAATAACGACATAACTGATTCATGCCGCAAATGCATGCTGGGAGCTTGTTCTTACCAAAAAAGATGGGGAAGCTCGGAAAACGTTCACTGTTAGCTAAAATAAATGAATCAATCAGAGTTGCATGATATTTCTAATAATATGAACCTGCAGAAAAGGTGCAGTGAGCGAATTTTGAGAAATGTTAAAAAAAGGAGCACCAGAACACACATACATCCAATCAGCAGTAAGGGGCGTGTTCTCTCATGAGGGGGGAGGGGCCTGTGTTGCATCCTGTGCATTTGAGGACCAGGGCTATCAAGATACAGTAGTAGTGCGATCCTTATGGGGAGGTTTTTTGTTGATTATTTCAAATATTATAAAGAGTTTTTCTCAGAAATCCTTATTGCACCTTTCAGTATAATATTATGGGATAATTAGAGGGCTAAAGGCACATTTGACTTTCTCATATAAAACACTAAGTGGCACAATAATTCAGCTCAGCACTTTTAACACTTTTGATGATTCACAAGGAAATCTTGACGTGATCGCGGACAGCAATGCAAAGTTGATTTTATGTTGATCTAATATTTAAGTTTTTTTTATTCTGTAGATTTATGTAGAACTGACAATCGATAAACTTAATGTATTTTATTAAATTATATTTTGAGACAAAGGTCATATTAATTATTTTTAACAGTTTTTCAATAACGAAAGAATATGTAAAAGGATTGTATTTAATATTTCGGGTAAATGGCGCCCCTGCTGTCGGGACTAAAGACACAATAATTACGTAACATGATAATAAAAAGCTGCCTAACATTTTCATTTGTTGACATGACATGGTTAGATTCAGATGGTAAATATCTTATAATAAGTTGGGTGTGCACCTTAGAGATTTATAATGAAACCATCATATTTTAAAATATATTAATTATATCTTAAAATATGTAGGCTATATATTTGCTAAAGCTTTATTCAATTATTATGAGATCTCCTTCAATACTTTCAGAATCTTTACTTTTTAAAATAATTGTGTTTCTGTATTTTTAAAATGAACATATTTTAATGACAAGTTATATCTACAAGAACTACAAGATTGTGTTTGTTATAACAAAAATGAATTATATTATTTATCAAAATAAACCGAAAATAGTGCAAACTTTGTGATTGTTTTGAATGAGTATTATAAAAAACATGTATTTTTAGCTAAAGTATTTGAAACAATCTTGTCTGCCTTCTACCCCGTGTGTGGGGGCAAAAGGCCCATCTTGCCACCTCATACAAGGTTTTATAAAGCGATATTAACGTAAGCCATCTACAGCTCTTCAGCAGTATACGCAAGTGTCAGAGGTGGTGCATGCTGCAAGCACACATTACAGCTATCTTTAGCTCTGACACTTCCATACTTAGAGTAAACAGCTTATCATTGGCAGGCAATGGTCATAGAACATGTTATATATCACTACTTTCTCTTCAAGAAAGAAACCAGTATAAGCGCATACAGATTATCTTCTTGAGGTTATTCAAAGTTCACATTGTACTTATTCGATCTAAATAGTAAAATGAAGTAATTAATTGCCTAATACTGAGATTAAACAATTTAGGCCATCACAAAGCAGTTAAACTGACAAGGAAGGTGATCTGGTGATAAATAGGCTAGCCTATCAGTGCTCTTATTTGTTGTTGTTGTGTGTGTGTGTTGTAGTCTACAAGCAATTAAGATCACACACAGTAGTTACTGGAAAACATGATGCGAAACTGGATTCCTCCCTTCAGGCATTACAAGTTGCTGTTCGAATGGGCGAGGCAAGACACAGCAGGTTGAATAGAGGATATTTTCAGAGGTTGAACATTACAGTAAACCACACCTTATGTGCAAAGGTGTCTGCCAAGACTGTCAGCTAAGTGAAGAGTGTGACTTTCTAGGAATGCAGAGTGAACGTTCAACGTTCAAAACAAGAGCTTGACCTAACAGCACGAACCTGTTTTCAATGCGCCCCCTGGTGGACAAACAAACATCTTCAATTATCTTATCATCTTATAGTGTTGGTCAAGTTAAAGGGTACATTTAATATTAATACATGCCAGTGTGTTTGAAAGGACAGCATGCTTGCTTATTTTATTTTATTTTATTATTTTTGTTAATTGAAGAACTGCTACGATGGAATTTCAACCATTGGATCGCGTGAGCTTCTCATGCTGCCACTCATTCCTACATCAATCTCAGCAATGATCAAACGCAGAAGGTATCAGATAGATAGAAACCTTAGGACTTATTTTAAGCTATATGAAAATGTATATGTTGTATCGTAAATACCAAGGAAAAACTAAGAGAAAACCATAGACTCTAAAAAAAAAAATATGGACGTAGTAGCCTATCTGTGACGTCACGTCATCCGTAGGTTTCTGAACTCCTGAAGAGCGTTTTTGAATCTGAATCTGTATAACAAAATGTGTAGGTCAGTCAATAAAATCCTCTTAAATTTTATTTGGAAGAACAAAATACATTATGTTAAGTAGTCGTTATGAACACGTGTGAAATGCGGTTTAAATTTCTGAACAACACTTTTAAATGAACTGGCTTAGACCGTTTTTATGTCATCCAATTTCAATTTGGAAATGTATCCCTAATTATTAGCTACTTTTCAAAATTAGTTGGTCTCCCTTTACTATTGGTCTGCAATTGTAATATTGCTATAGAGTCCCTTACAATTTATCGAAGTTCCATAAGCATTGCATGGTCTTTAATCTTTAAACACAACTTTTCCCCTCACCGTTACTTCATTTGGAACAATCAAAATATTGCATGTAAGAAGAAAATTTTCTTTTTACAAATTGGTTTGAGAAAAATTTGTTGACTGTTTCTTGAATTCTGAAAGTAGCCTATTTATTTGAAATTATGAAGAGTTTTTATGTAAATTCAATTTCCCAGTAACTCCCAAGGAAGTTTCCACTGTAATGGACGCAATCCCTGAGTTGTTATGCTTCTAAAGGACTCTGTTAGTTCATCTGACACTTTTCCTTCTTTAGACCCATTTGAACTCCCAATAGGAAAATTATGCTTTCTGTCATATCATTCATCAGAATTAGATCTCTCTTTCAAAAAGAGCTGTAGTTGTAAAAAAAAAAAATTCACCCCCTCACAGTTGTCATGAAGGGCAAAATTAGCTAGCCTATATGTTTTTTTCTGCTGTGAAGTTAGGCATTTTAACATGATGGGGGAGATACCATAGATATCTATGGGAGATACAGATTTAACAGCTGCTGTCAGCCTCAAGCGGCCAGTAGATGAATTACAGTTTAATTAATTGCTTTTGCCGCTCAGTTGGCTGAGGGGGCATTTTCCGGAAGATTTTCTGTTAAAAAAACAGAAGCCGGGGCGGCAGTGGCTCAGTGGTTCATGTGGGTGGTTCAATCCTCGGTACCACCTGACCAAGTGTCGAGGTGTCCATGAGCAAGACACCTAACCCCAGCTGCTCCCGACGAGCTGGATGGCGCCTTGCATGGCTGACACCGCCGTCGGTGTATGAATGAGTGTATGAATGGGTGAATGTGAGGCAAATGTAAAGCGCTTTGGTGGCCATTAGGTCTATGAAGGCGCTATATAAATGCAGTCCATTTACCATTTAAAAATGACGTCAATACATACCCCGACAAATTAACTTCTGGGAAAAATATATTACACTATGGAATATGGACATAACGTGTATGAGATTTACTATTATCTTGGCTGGCTAATTTAGTGGATGTTAACGTGACATGTTAGTTAAACTATTTTTCCTACAGAGAGACAGCTCTGGCAAATGTAGTGTAAGAACGCCCTCTATCGGTCGGTTTTAACTTCGCATTTTTACAAACTGCTTGTTTCAGTTTCTCAAACACGGAACCTGGAAACTCCTCGGTTAAGGTAAAATAAAACTTGATTTCTCTCGCTCTGTCTCTCTGGTAGAGCATTGTTTTCGCTGCATAGGGTCTAGTTAAAGTTACAACTTTCCAGATTGTGGATTTTCGACTGGGTAATGTTAAAAGCTGGGAACTTCACATAGGTAAGTAAGAAATTATCACTCTGTGCGAGATTACAACTGAGTTGTAATTCTAGAGTTGAGTCCTATGTTTAAAACACACCTTTTTTAAAGCTCAAGTACTGATGTATGTTTGTCTCTGTCTGTGTGGACGTGCAGTAAAATGGCAGAAGCCAGTATTTTGTGGGACCAGTTCAGCTGTTCAATCTGTTTGGATCTACTGAACGTTCCGGTGACGATCCCCTGTGGACACAGTTACTGCATGAGCTGCATTACAGACTGCTGGAATAAAGATGATCAGAAGAGAGTTTACAGCTGCCCTCAGTGCAGACAGACCTTCACTCCAAGACCTGCTTTAAACAAGAATGTGATGTTTGCTGGAATGGTGGACAACCTAAAGAAGACAAAACTCCAAATAGTTCGTCCTGCTCTCAGTTATGCTGGACCTGGAGATGTGGAGTGTGACGTCTGCACTGGAAGGAAATGTAAAGCTGTAAAGTCCTGTCTAGTGTGTCTGGAATCATACTGTCAAAGTCACTTTGAGCGACATGAGGAATTTCACTCGGGTAGTAGACGACACAGAGTGACTGAAGCCACTGCACGACTGCAGGAGATGATCTGCTCTGAACACGACAGACTGATGGAGGTTTACTGCCGTACTGACCAGCATTGTATTTGTTTGCTATGTACGATGGACAAACACACAAATCACGATACTGTTTCGGCTGAAGCAGAGAGATCTGAGAAACGGGTATGAAAAACAAATCTAGTAAAATACACGTTTATGATGCGATACATTAAGAGCTGTTGTCTGTTACTCTTACAGAAACAGCTGTGCGACATACAAAGAAAGACCCATCAGAGAATCCAGGAGGGAGAGAAAAAGCTTCAGGAGCTGAAAGAGACTGTGAAGACTCATAAGGTAAGTTTAAGGGGAGTCGGAAATGTTTTAGGAGTCCAGTCCCACTGAAGACTATAAGTGAAAGGTCTGATTGTCTGTGTGTCCTGACAGCGCTCTGCACAGGCTGCAGTGGAGTACAGTGAGAGGATCTTTGCTGAGCTGATCCGCTCCATTAAGAAAAGCCGATCTGAGGTGACACGGATGATCAGAGATCAGGAAAAGGATGCAGTGAGTCGAGCTGAAGGACTCTTGAAGCGACTTGAGCAGGAGATTGATGATCTGAGGAGGAGAGAAGCTGATCTGGACCAACTTGCTCTCACTGATGATCACATACATTTCCTTCAGGTAACTGATCTCAGAAGCAGTACGTTTAAGATGATCTTATTATTACAGTAAAGAGTTTCTAAAAAAAACTCAGCACTTTTCTATCTTTTCTCTTTTCAATGTTTTCAGTATATTAACTTGCACTTAAATGGCTTTGTATAACTTGTGGTTAACTTGCGTATAACTGGTTTGGGGGGAAAAAAAATCAAGCTCACTCTGTCCTGTTTGCTTGCACTGCCCTTTATTCATGCACAATTTTTTTTAGTGCAAATTTATTGGTTGGATATGGCATGACAGATTATACACACAAAAACATGTTTACACATTAGTGAATGAGACCCATTGATTATTAAAATCTGTTCATTTGTTTGTCTCTGTAGAGTTTCCAGTCTCTCTCTGTTCCTCCTGTATCCACAGACAGCAGTAATGTCAATTCTCTCCTCACTTATGATGATTTTTCTCTATCTGTCTCTATGCTAAGAGGAAAACTTGAATACGTCTGCAAAGAAGCAACAGAAAATATATTTGGTAAAGGTAAAGAACTGGATATTCATTTACTTACATTTTTTTTTAATCATTTACCATATAATATACTATTAAGAAAATAGCTTGTGAATTACACTGTACATGTCTGTTGGTTTCAGTTGTGACATACATTGAGCTTGTTACTGCCACTGAATTCAGGACCAGAGATGACTTCTTGCAATGTAAGTGTTACTATTAAAGCAAACTCCATGAATCTTCCAAAAAATAAAAATAAAAAAATCACTTATCATCTGAATTCTAACTTGTTATTAGTTATCTGTCTCCTGGCATCAATTTCCTGCTTTTATTTATAGTCAGTATTTAAGACTTTATATGAGTCTTAGTTCATTCACATGCTTTTATGGTTCTCTAATATTGCTGGTTTGTTGCCTTTCCTAGGGTTAGGGTTTGTTGTGGTTCTAAGATTACACTTACATGTTTTGTTTCACAAATGCAGGTGACTATAATACAAATGACATAAATATAAAAAATTATGTTATGTAATTAATATTCTTTTTCAATCAGATTCCTGTGAGCTCACACTGGATTCGAACACTGCACATAAATACCTCCGTCTTTCTGAGGGCAACAGAGTGGCTAATTTTATTGGGGCTGACCAGCCGTACCCTGTTCATCCGGACAGATTTCATGTTTTTTCTCAGGTGTTGTGTAGAGAGAGTGTGGGTGAGCGCTGTTACTGGGAGGTGGAGTGGAGTGGGATGGCTGGGGTGGGAATATCGGTGTCATATAAGAGCATCGGCAGGAAAGGAGATGGTGATGATTGTGTCTTTGGATTTAATGATCAGTCCTGGAGATTGTCCTGCTCTGACTCCAGGTTTGCGTTCAGACACAATCAGAAAGAAATAAAACTTCCTGTAGTCTCCAGCTCCTCTACAATAGGAGTGTATGTGGATCATAGTGCAGGAATTCTTGCCTTCTACAGTGTCTCTGACACAATGACCCTCATCCACAGAATTCAGACCGTATTCACTCAGCCGCTCTATCCGGGGTTTGGGGTCAATTTAGGATCAACAGTGAAACTCTCATCTGCAGAGATTCTATGAATAAGAGTACTATAGACAGGTTTAAGCATGCTGATTGCAGATAGCAGCTGCCTCTCTCCCATCTATCCGGTGACAATCCCAATACAGTTTAATCCAAACCGATAACTGGACTCATGACGTTTCATTACAACACAAACTGCAGGTGACCGTGTCCAAGGCCAATACAAGGATTGTCCAACTGCTGGGTTTTGATTTGATTTTTTTTTTGTTCAATGTTTTGTAATATTGTGCAATAAATAATTGTGATTGATTAAGGATTACAAATTTTTACTTTGGCGATTAAGACATAACCTATATATCACATTGCAGTTATAGCCTACTGTCACTTATGTGACTGAAATCTGTTTTCAGGCTAGTTTGCATGGGAAATTCTTTTTTATTTATTATTATTTTTATGAAGTAGCGTGTGTATGACACGCCAATTCGTATTTCCATTTTTGACGCGCTATCAAGACGCATAATCGCCTTTTAGCGTGTTTATGAACGCCGTTGACTTAACGTTATATAAATATATAACTTAGCCTACCTCAACCCCGTCCCTAAACCTAACCGTCACTGGGGTTAATGGCATTTATGACTGTTCCCTTTCCATCCTAGGAAAAAAAAAGATATGACTTACCTCAACCCCATCCCTAAACTTAACCGTCACTGGGGTTAATGGCATTTATCACTGGAGATTTGACTGCGTGTATGGACACGAGGAATGACGCGGACGTTAATGGCGTAGACATATACGCATACACGCGGATACACCGCGGAGAGCTCAAAATGTGTAGCGATAACACGCCACCTGACTCGAAAGTGGCGTATATGTTTACGCAAAAGTCATGATGTCATGTTGCCTCATTTGAGGTTGCTTCACAAAAGCTATTAAACCAGCATCACTTTCCTTCACTAAACACAATGCCTAAAAGCTGGTGGTTGAAACCACAGGTGTTCATGTCTGCTGATAGCACTTGCTTGGATGCTTTCTTCGCGCTACCTTTATAACAGTTGTTCTCATAAGATTTTACCCACCTAGCAGAATTTGCAAGGATGTTTATCATTTAAAAAAAGTAAAGGGATCATAAAAATTACCTTTTATTTTTTATTTAGTATTGTCCAGGCCATTTCACATCACATGTTTATGTACAGTCCACAATATAAAATGATACAGAATTTACATGTTAGTATAAAAGTTTGATGCATGCATAGATTCCTCAATGATCAATGACTGTTTTATATGTTTTCTGATTGTTGCTTATGAACAGTGTTGGGGAAAGTTAATCTTAAAAGTAATCCATTATAGTGTTACACCCTAAAAAAGTAACTAATTCCGTTACTTAGTTTTTATGGAAAGTTTTAAATGTTCTGTAATAGTGGGTTAACAACACTTGTTTTGTTGTGTTTGAAATGAAGAGCTGAAAGTTTCCTGGTGTTTCAGAGACAAAACTCAACACTTGAGTTTTTCTAGTGTGACTTAACTGTGTAGTTCAGTTCAGATAATAAAGAACAACCACGAGGTATCCGTCTCTCGCTGAAACCAGGACTGGATGATGGACTACATTCAGAAGACACATATTGTAGAGTCGAAAATTACAAAAAGGTGAGCACATCCTATACCCAAATTGGGCTCAGATGCAGGAAAAAAATAAAATGTCTGCTCTCCACTCACTGAAGTTACAGCTCCATACAGCATTTATTTATTAATAGTGCAACGTTTTGACCGATCAGGTTTTCATAAGGCAAGCTCCTGATCTGTCAAAACGTTTCGCTGTTCATTTTTTTGTTAATATATACTGTAGGCTACGGACGGAGCTATAACTTCAGTGTGTGGACATTTTATTTCTTTTCAGAGTATACATCTCATTGTCTGCCTACGTTGATACTGGTTGTTTGAATCTTTTGGGTTTTTAATAAGGCTTTTTAAGAAAGTCTTTTCTGTATCTATAGATCAAACAACCTTTTCAACGTTATCTTTGTGTTTTCTTCGTGTGAGTCACGATGTCTTGTCCTTTTTTGACCATTAGTCTTGGGTGAATTCTGCCTATCATTGACTATGTTTTCCCTTTAGGATCATCTGGGGTTTTCTAGGGTGAATGGCATCCCAAATGGAAGATGATCTGAGTTGATCTGAGTGTTGATTCGGAATTTGGCTCTTTGTTCATCAATAATCTGAAGAGGAGTCTGATTCTTCGCTGATGCGATCGTCTATTAAAAAGAAAAGCTGTACATCAGTTCACAAACAAAAAATATATTACTTCCTTGAGTTTATATTTTGCATTAAATATAAAAATGCATAAAAACACTAACTTGATCAAATTTATACTTTGTTTTAATAAATAGAATATTATACATAGTAAAAATACATTACAAATAAAAATACCAAATAGAATTGTTTTTGGTCTCTCTTTTTTATGTAATGTTTATTTAACCAGAAAATTAAGTGGGACTTAAATGTGCATTTGATACTGTATAAAAAATGTATAATATATATGAAGAGTTCAGATGCAAAAGCCTCTAAATGCCATTTGAAATGTTCTTCTTTAATGATCATTTTTATCCAACTTGTATATTTAAGTTCAGTAATTTCACTTAAATGGCAATGATAATTACCTATTAATTGTTATTTAAGTGAAATTACTGAACATAAATATACAAGTTTGATAAAACTCATCATTAAAGAAGAATATTTCAAATGGCATTTAGAGGCTTTTGCATCTGAACTCTTCATATATATATATATACATATGGAGGAGGCAAACATTTAACAAAACATTTACCTAACATCCTAACATTTTTTTATATACACACACACACACACACACACATATATATATATACACTCACCGGCCACTTTATTAGGTACACCTGTCCAACTGCTCGTTAACACTTAATTTCTAAGCAGCCAATCAAATGGCGGCAACTCAGTGCATTTAGGCATGTAGACATGGTCAAGACAATCTCCTGCAGTTCAAACCGAGCATCAGTATGGGGAAGAAAGGTGATTTGAGTGACTTTGAACGTGGCATGATTGTTGGTGCCAGAAGGGCTGGTCTGAGTATTTCAGAAACTGCTAATCTACTGGGATTTTCACGCACAACCATCTCTAGGGTTTACAGAGAATGGTCCGAAAAAGAAAAAAACATCCAGTGAGCGGCAGTTCTGTGGGCGGAAATGCCTTGTTGATGCCAGAGGTCAGAGGAGAATGGCCAGACTGGTTCGAGCTGGTAGAAGGGCAACAGTGACTCAAATAACCACCCGTTACAACCAAGGTGGGCAGAAGAGCATCTCTGAACGCACAGTACGTCGAACTTTGAGGCAGATGGGCTACAGCAGCAGAAGACCACACCGGGTGCCACTCCTTTCAGCTAAGAACAGGAAACTGAGGCTACAATTTGCACAAGCTCATCGAAATTGGACAATAGAAGATTGGAAAAACGTTGCCTGGTCTGATGAGTCTCGATTTCTGCTGCGACATTTATGGTCAGAATTTGGCGTCTACAACATGAAAGCATGGATCCATCCTGCCTTGTATCAACGGTTCAGGCTGGTGGTGGTGGTGTCATGGTGTGGGGAATATTTTCTTGGCACTCTTTGGGCCCCTTGGTACCAATTGAGCATCGTTGCAACGCCACAGCCTACCTGAGTATTGTTGCTGACCATGTCCATCCCTTTATGACCACAATGTACTTCTGATGGCTACTTTCAGCAGGATAATGCGCCATGTCATAAAGCTGGAATCATCTCAGACTGGTTTCTTGAACATGACAATGAGTTCGCTGTACTCAAATGGCCTCCACAGTCACCAGATCTCAATCCAATAGAGCATCTTTGGGATGTGGTGGAACGGGAGATTCGCATCATGGATGTGCAGCCGACAAATCTGCGGCAACTGTGTGATGCCATCATGTCAATATGGACCAAACTCCCTGAGGAATGCTTCCAGCACCTTGTTGAATCTATGCCACGAAGAATTGAGGCAGTTCTGAAGGCAAAAGGGGGTCCAACCCGTTACTAGCATGGGGTACCTAATAAAGTTGCCGGTGAGTGTATATAATTCATTCATTAATTCATTAATTCATTTATTCATTAACATGCCATATAACCTTATGTGGTCTTTTTAACTGAATTTTGTTTTGAACTTTCAAGAAGCAATATTTTTACAATTGTTCTGAATATTAAGATGTGACACCCCATGAGAGTCAGCAATGAACATGTGTCTCTTGAGTCTTGAATTTTGAAATAACTGACAATAGTCAGGATTTTCTTTGTCTGGGTTAAAAAAAGGTAGCATATTTAACAAGTTTTTCTGAAAGCCCCGTTCTTTATGTATGTTTAACTTTGCTGAAACACTATATAGAAAAAGCTGCTAATGATCTGCCTCATAACCTGATTAAAAAAAATTATGTTTTATGAAACAGCTCAGCATGCACAATAATGCTTATTGAGAGTCCTGTGAAACATATATGCAAGTGTGTGTGTGTGTGTGTGTGTGTGCGTTTTCATAATGACTTACAGTATATCGGCGACATAGTCTTGGGTTCATTATAGGAAATGTTGATGTTTGTTACTAAGAAAATAAAACACATATACATAATTAGAATCGTTATAAAACCCACTACTTCTGTGATCCAGAAGCTTGCATTCCACAACTGAATGGTGTCTTGTGGTGCCATCCCAAAATTACTTTCATTGACCTGTTCCCTGATGGTCAAATGACCTGCCTAACGCAACCCGAGCTGCCATGTCTTTTCCCATTTTTGATAAATGACGAAGACTCATCTTTTTTAGTAAGTGCCATTAATACTAACATTTATTCTTCTATTCTATTTCTAATCTATATATTTTTCTTTCTATTTATTTATTTAAAAAGTGTAGTAGCCTAATGTGCTAGATTAACATGTGACTTTTCAAAGCACTTACATATTTGATAAAATCGTCTGCTAAACAATTAAATGTAAACAAATAGTTCAAATTCTTGATTGTAATTATTTTTCAAAAAAAAAAAAATAGATCACTTTCATATTTATTTTTAACATGCTTCTTTTCGCTTCTTACATATAACTGTTACTGTCACTTTACCTTGACCAGATATTTTTTTCATCTCTTCTTTGCAGGACTTCTCTAGTTGTTCTTTCAGTTTCGAGACAGGTTTCTTCACTTCTACGTAAGAGAGGACAGAATGGACAATAACTCTGGATACATCTGTGGATTCCAGAGGTTCAGAGAGAGACTGGAAGCTCTAGAGAGAATAAACAAACAGAAATATTAAAGATATAAAGACACAAAAACTTCAATGGTAGCATCCACTCCTTGATATTTAATAAACCCCAAAATGAAATGATATTTTGTCAGGTAAACTTTATTATTAGCCTACCAGACATGTTCACCGGCACCAAGTTTACTTAGAGGAAACACTGTAAAAGAAATGGACACAGCGAGCCCATAGACTTCAACACAGAAAAGTGAAGTCAATTAGAAGCACTCACTTCCTGATGGATGAGCGCATGCGCAGGCTCAAACTAAGCTTGATGTGACGTGAGCAACCTGTCTGACAGTTGTACGTCCTCTAGTAGCTGTGACTTTAACCAGTATAGCAAAAAATGTTTTTAAAAACCATTGCCTTCTTTAATTATTATGATCTCATAGGCTTTTTAAACCAATGATATTCGAGTAAAGCAACTGTTAACAAAAAAAAAACATATTTATAAAAATACATGAGATCACAAAAAGAACATAATACTCAACGCATCTAACAGGCATGCATTATTATTTAAGTGGCTTATATAATAGTTATTATCACAGTAATATTAGGAGAGATGTTCCTTATGACAACAATCCTGATCTCAGTTACCTGCAGGTAATGTATGTGATCGTCAGTGAGGGCAAGTTGGTCCAGCTCAGCTTCTCCCCTCTCCAGATCATCAATCTCCTGCTCCAGTTGCTCCAGCCGTTCTTCAGCTCGACTCACTGCATCCTTTTCCTGATCTCTGATCATCTGTGTCACCTCAGATCGGCTTTTCTTGATAAAGTGGATCAGTTTAGTAAAGATCTTCTCACTGTACTCCACTGTTGACTGTGCAGAGCTCTGTTAGGACACACAGACAATCAGACCTTTCAGTGGGATGGGAAAGTGTCCCAGCACAGCACTGACCCTAACTCACTTTGTGGATGTCCATTGCCTCTCTTAACTCCTGATGCTCTTTCTGTCTCTTTTGGACTCTCTGCTGGAATTTTTCTTGTATCTTTTCAGCTTGTTTCTAGAGGAGAACAAATAGTTTTGTTTGAATGGTTTCTGGATATTACAGCTATCTTTTTATTTGTATCAACATTAAAATTATTGCAAGATAATGTCACATTAACTGTATAATAACTGACATAATGACAGTTATTCTGATTTTGATGATTGCAAGAATCAGCATAGCTTATTTATACGTGTCTTCATCAGTTCATACCTGTTTCTCTGTCCTCTCTGCTTCAGCTGTAACAGTATCGTGATTTTTGTGGTCTTCCATCATACACAGTAAACAAATACAGCACTGGTCAGTACGACAGTAAACCTCCATCAGTCTTTCATGTTGAGGGCAGATCCTTTCCTGCAGTCGTGCAGTGGCATCAGTCACTTTGTGTCGTTTCCTTAAAGGAGATTCTTCATGACACACAAAGTGACTTTGACAGTATGATTCGAGACACATCAGACAGGACTTTACAGCTTTGCGTTTCCTTCCAGTGCAGAAGTCACACTCCACATCTCCAGGTCCAGCATAACTGAGAGCAGGACGAGCTGTTTGACCTTTTGTCTTCAGTGTTTCCACCATTTCAGCCAGCATCACATTCTTGTTTAAAGCAGGTCTTGGAGTGAAGGTCTGTCTGCACTGAGGGCAGCTGTAAACTCTCTTCTGATCATCTTTATTCCAGCAGTCTGTAATGCAGATCATACAGTAACTGTGTCCACAGGTGATGGTCACTGGATCCTTCAGTAGATCCAAACAGATTGAACAGCTGAACTGATCCCGAGCCACTGGAATACTGGATTCTGCCATTACACCGCACAAACACAGGATACAGCCAGACAACAGCTGAACAACACTTAAGTTTCAATTTCTCTCAACTGAGCGTTTCCTGTCTCGAGACGTGTGCAAAAGAGGTGTGTTTGTATGGTGTGATCCAGTAACCAAGTTTTTTTTTTTTTTTACAAGGATCCATGGTGAAAATATGTAACTAAGACAAAAACATGTTTTTTGGCTAACCACATTCAGTAGACACAAACAGACTGAAGATCTAAACTGATCCCAAGCCACTGACATTTTAACTTCTCCCATTTAACTGCATGAATACTCAGTCAAGTCAAACTTTATTTATAGAGCACAAGTTTAACACAACCGTAGTTGATCCAAAGTGCTTTCCAGTACAATAAAATAGTTCAAATAAAATAAAATAAATAAAGCAAAAAGAGATAAAAGCAAGTAGCAAAACCTTTGGTGTATCGACATATACAACCTGTAGAACACAGACTAATTTAAAAATAAATACATGACCTTATTCAAAAGTAAGAGAGTAAAAATAGGTTTTTAAACTGGATTTTAAAAGCAGCCAAGGATGGAGAGATCCTGATGGTTAAAGGTAAACTGTTCCAGAGCTTTGGCGCAACAACAGAGAAAGATCTATCACCTCTTGATTTACACCGAGAGAAAGGGACAGATAAAAGTGACAGATCACAAGATCTTAGTGCTGTATATGGTCTAATAAGATCACAAATATAATCTGGGGCCGAGTTATGTAGAGCCTTATATGCAAAAAGGAGGATCTTAAAGTCTACTCTAAATTTTATTGGTAGCCAATGTAATGAGGCAAGAACAGGTGAGATATGATCCCTTTTCTTAGTTCCTGTTAACAATCTGGCTGCTGAGTTTTGAACCATCTGTAACCTAGACAGTGTAGTCTGAGGTAGGCCAACATACAGAGAATTACAATAGTCCAATCAAGACGATATTAGTGCATGAATCACAATTTCAAGGTCTTTACTAGAGAGAAAGTTTTTCACTTTTGCTATTGAACGGAGTTGAAAGTAGCTACTCTTTACAACTGCATTTACATGTTTATCGAATTGGAGAAGGGGATCAAAACGGACTCCAAGGTTTTTTGCATGATTGTGCAGGTTGTTACTTAAAGGGCCAAGCTGTGTTTTTATGGAGTTGTTATTAGCAGCAGGACCCAGTAGAAGCACTTCAGTTTTATTTTCATTCAGTTGCAGTGATTTTTTTGTCATCCAGGTCTTGACTTCCTTGAGGCACGCGAACAGGTTATCTAATGAAAAGTCATCGTCTGGTTTGATTGGGAGAAGGCTCAGATAGAATACAGCCACTTATCTACACTATGAGTAGGAAAAGGTTTTGTTTTCTCTCTAATGAAACATTTTCCTGGTTTTTAAACGACTTATGCAAAACGTGTCAGGTGTGACTCATCTCTATTTTACTAGGCCTGTACAAATGAAAAAGAACATCGGCTATGTTCCAATCTAACAATAAAATCAGGGCTGGATCATGAACTGGTAGTGATAGGACACTGAACTTTCAAAGCTTGTATCGGCTGAATGTTTGTACAATAATAAAGTTCAACATAAGCCCATAAAAAAAATAGCTTACTTTTTACCGTGCAAACTTATGCATAGGCTACACTTTAATTGTTTATCATTTTGTAACCGTTTATCATGTTTTTATTATCTTGCACATTTAATAGACAAATTGAATGCATGCAATCATTCAGTCAGGGCTACTGGACGAATGTTCAAAACGTGCAAACAAATAAAAACATGGTTACGAAATGATAAAGCACAGCAAACTTCACCTAGTATATTGTATAGCCTACTACACCTTTATACATTGCGATGCTTCAAAATTGTCTTTACTCATTGTTCTCATTTGTTGAATGATTGCAAAAACTGAAATAAACCTGCATAAATAGGCCATCTGTGGACTAACAAGTTTATAGCCTATATATCCTAGTGTGATTGTTCTTAAATTTTTCTTTTTGTAAAGCTAAATAACTTAAAGCTGCAATCGGAAAAGCCTGACAGATTGAGGGGGACTTAGCCAAAATTTTGACTGTTTAGATCATGCCCTGATTATCACCCAAGGGGGTAATCATGGACAGAGCCATCTCATTGGAACTCAGTTGAGACAAGTGAAGCCCATTTTTAGGACTTCGGTTCCTGACGCGCACACTCAAACAGAGCTTGGCGACATAGAAGTGACGTCAGCAACCTGTCTGTCTTCTAGTGGATGTGGCATGAGAAATCTGAATCATTCCCTTCCGAAACATGCAGAGGCAGAGAGTGTGAGTAGGATCTGTCCATGAGCTAGGAGCAGGAGAAACTTTTGCTCGGTATTATGATTATTTATTTTGTCATTTTGCCTCCACGTTTCCCCGATTGCCCGCGAGCTTCTCCTCCTGTCCATACGGTAATCTCTCTACTATTATGATTAATTATTTTGTCATTTTGCCTCCACGTTTCCCCGATTGCCCGCGAGCTTCTCCTCCTGTCCATACGGTAATCTCTCTACTGTGCAACAGATAGTCGCGTGGTTATGATGCAATCATTAGCCTACTTTTACAAAAAACTGCTTCTACGGGGCCATAACATAAGCTACTGTCACGGTGTTGTGCGGGTTGAAGAAGGAATCCAAGAGAGAAGGCTCCAATTCAACATTTAATAATGAAACTCCAAGGAACTGGTACAGACAGATAGACGGGTAGAGAATCCACAAAACACTTCAAAACATTAACATTCACACCACGGAAGGGTAACATTAACATCGACCAACCAAGACAGAATGGAACTGAACTCAACTAAATACACAGAGGAATTAAGCTAAATGCGGTGAAAACAGGTGAAACAGATGAAAAAAACGAGGAACAGGTGACTAATGAGGGAGTGAGTTCAGGAGAGGAGACAAGAGGATCCTGGGGAGAGTAGTTCTGATGACAAGACAGACTGGTGCAGACGACGGACTGTGACAGCTACAAGGTAATGGAGAATTTTATACATTGTCGTGTTTCTTTAGAAATAAATAATGGACAAATGGGGTCTTCAAACGCCTCAGAAGTAAAGTTATTCGCTGTCAAAGTGACGCCAAAATGAATGGGAGAAAAATGGAAATGCCAACGCAAGTGAAGTTCTGCTACAAGATGGCGGCACCCGGCCGGTTTCAACTTCTGGTCGATGTTGAAGTCGAAGCCTTGCGGGAGCCGTGTCTATGCTAGCACCCACCGAGCACCCTTCCATCGAGTTTGAGCTTGTCAGTATGTGCACCAGATTTTCTGTGAACGCGCCTGTCTCTTCAGCATCGATCTTTCACCTTCATTTTTACAGGTGTTTTTTTCTTTTCTTTTCTTGGTTGTTTTGGACGTCCTAGCTCCGGTTGTTAACCGAGGAATTGGAAGCTTGTTAGTATTTCCTTTCCGCCTTCACGCTTCGTAAATCCCAATCCAACACCCCTGCGAACTTCAGGGTGATTATTTTCACCTTTTTAGTTGAATTACTGAAATAAATTAACTTTTGCACAATATTCTAATTTTTCGAGGTTCACCTGTAAATCTGCTAGCCTATGACTCACCTGTAGTTCAGTTCAGATAATGAAGAACATCCACAAGGTGTCTCTCGCTGAAACCAGGACTGGATGATGGACTACATTCAGAAGACATATTGTACAACAAAGAATAGAAAATTACAAAAAGGTGAGCACATCCTATACCTAAATTGGGCTCAGATGCAGGAAAAAACTAAAATGTCTGCTCTCCACAAAATGTCTACTCTCCACTCACTGAATTTACAGCTCCATAGCATACCTGTATGTATACTGTACCGAGAAATAACGTCAGTGTGTGGACATTTTATTTCTTTTCAGAGTAGGGGAGCGCGGGGCACAACCTAACGCGGGGTTAAATGTAACACGCACCGTTTACATAGTTCGTCAGGATCAAGCAGGCTGGCTGTGTTTACGATATTTTTCTCTTGCTGCCAGAAGACGGTCTCCGGCGAATTTGCGGAAAATTTTGATTATATTTCGTTAAGATACTTGACAGAGTGTTTTGACACCATTAAAGTATTTTTTTTTCATCATAGATTTTTTTCGGTTTCTGAGTTAAGTTTCCAAATCTAACTTTATATTGCCTAAATCACTGTCTTGTTGGCTCAAACATAGCACCGTTTTGAAACTTATTAGCAAAGCGACTGTTAGCTAGGTTTAAAATATGTAATACACAGAGGGGTTCGTTGTAACACAGTGTTACAAACAAGACGCCAAGTGTACAACGATAATCAAATGAAAACGGAGCCTCACAACTTTTCAGGTTTGAGTATGTACATTTAACTTTGTTGGACTTCCACAAACAATGTTGGAATTTAAGATTTATGAAAAAATGAATGAAATGAACGATAACTTGTTTATTTATTAAAATATGGCCTGTTTTTAATGCAATATTAAAATTAAAATTATTAAAATTATTATTTTAAGCTCATTTGTTATTATTACTGTTATTATTAATAATAATAATAATAATAATTGTACATGCAGCTGCCACACACAAATCTAATTTAATTGCAATTACACTATTTTATAATTTTATTTATTAGTATTTATTGCAAAACTGTACAGCCCTTTTCTATGTCTCTATCCTTGATATTGATCCACAATAGAAGGATGATTGGATGAGGGATGGATGTATGGATATCTGTCTATACAGATGCACAAACAATATCAAACTATTCAAATAAAATTTTACTGAATTAAGTGTGTTACACACAAGTGTTAAAACTAACCCCTCTGTCTGTTACAATTAACCTGGGGTAAGTTGTAACATTTGCACTTCTGTCATTTTCAGTGCAACTGTAGGAAAATGGTAGGTCCTAGAAAAAAACTTTAAGTGTTCATTTGTAGCAGAGATGTGTATGTTGCTTGTGTAAAAAAAATATTAATCTAACATAATTATTTTTTAATTAACTGAGCCAAAACCAAAATGCGTTAGGTTGTGCCCCGCTCATTTCACAAGATGTAAACAACACTGGTCCAGAAGCACTTCCTGTTTCAGTTTTTTTAACACTACATAAAAGCTGGGATAAAATACAACCAACAGAACATTTAAAACTGAATCAAAAAGTTAAACAAACATCTTTAAGATGTTTTCTTTACATGTGAAATAAAGAAAACAGTTACAAACTGAAACAAGAAGTGCTTCTGGACCAGTGTTGTTTACATCTTGTGAAATGGTCTATACATCTCATTGTCTGCCTACGTTGATACTGGAGCCGTTTGTTACGGAGTCGTTACGGAGTCATTGTTTTTCGTCAGACCACTTTGAAGTCTTGCCTGTTCTTGTTTTAATCTGTCTTGGATTGATTATATGGACTTTGACTCCTGCCTGGATTGTTGTGAGTACGGATTACCCAAATAAATTAGTGCTATTGGAATTTACCTGTTTGTGTGTGTGTATCGTGACAGCATGATCATTTGCATAGCCCTGCTCAACTCTGTTAGATTGCAAATGGTCTCTGCTGCACGCGATACTCGTCGGTACAAAAATCAAAATGGACATTTAAACCCACAAACAATTTATTAAAATTTCACCCAGCTGGCAATGGTGTAAATATTATACATTGTCACACAGGGGTAGCCTATATTGAATATGCACGACGAAGGAATCCGAAAGAACAGTCGTTATTAAGCCACAAAACTTAGGAAATACATAAACGAGCACTTGATATTGATAAAATGATCTAGGGAAACTCTGAAATTATAATCAAAAGAGAAAGAACAGGTGTGTGGAATTAGGAACTATGGAAACTAACACTTTACAATAAGGTCTTATTTGTTAACATAATGCATAAACTAACCTAAACTAAACATGAGCAATACATGTGTAACTATGTTTGTTAATCTTTGTTATGTTAGTTAAAATCCAGCTGTTTTTATTGATACTTTATTTTATCCAGCTGTTTAATTGTTTGTTCATGTTAGTTCACAGTGCATTAAATAATGTTTACAAATAGAGCTTTTGATTTTAATAATGTATTTGTAAATGTTGAAATTAATATTAACAAATATTAATAAATGCAGAAGAAGTGCATTTCATGTTAACTAATGTAGTTAACTAATGCTAAAAAATGAAACCTTATTGTAAAGTGTTACCCAAATAATTAACAAAAAGGGAAACTAACTATGGAAATAAGGAGAATGGGAACAATGCAAAACGAAACTAAAACAGCACATACATGTTACATAGATTAAGTTATAATGATATTATTTGCATTGTTTAGGTAAATACTGACATTATCTATATGACAGCAGTTTAAATTGTGACATTTGATATAAAGAGGATTCACACACCATGCCCTGATATTTATTACTCACAGTAATAATTGGCTCCAAGTCATTGTTGCTACATTACATACATTATTATTATATTAGTTTGCTAAACAAATATGAAAACATTGTAGATAAAATCCCTATTACCCTAGATGGCACAGTTTCACTGATGATTCCTGATTGACCCCAAACCCCGGATAGAGCGGCTGAGTGAATATGGTCTGGATTCTGTGGATGAGGGTCATTGTGTCAGAGACACTGTAAAAGGACAGAATTCCTGCACTGTGATCCACATACACTCCTATTCTAGAGGAGCTGGGGATTATAAGGAGTTCAGTCTTTATCTTGTTGTGACAGAATGAGTAACCAGATTTAGAGCAGAACAATCTCCAGACATTTAATCCAAAGGAACAATCTCCACCCTGTCCCTTTCTTCTGATGATCTTATGTGACACTGATATAGTCACCTCACCACTCCACTCCACCTCCCAGTAACAGCGTCCACACACACTCTCTCTACACAACACCTGAGGCCAAACATCAAATCTGTCTGAATGATCAGGATACGGCTGCTCTGTGTGAGTGTAAGTGGCCACTGTTTTGTCCTCAGACAGATGAACATGTGAATTCACTGTGTTTAGATCTAAAGTGCGCTGACGGGAATCTGATGAAGATGAAAACACATAATAGTTTAACTTACATTTGTTTCTCAGTTTGAACATGCATTGTATGAGCCTGAGTTTATTTAGTTTATTTATTTTCAGGGGTGGTGGAGCTAAAGTGCTAAAACATTAAACATAGATTCAGTTCAGTATAGTAAAAAAAAAATCATTTACTTTATTTGCTGATAAAATGCAACATTAATACAATGTCATAACCTTTTCATAAAAGTATGTTGTCTTCACACTCGAAAGAATGTGCTCTACTAAAACTGAAACTTTTAAACTTTCAATATTCAACATATAAAATATTGTTTTGAATATTGTTAAGGTGATACCCCATGACAAACACCAGTCATGTGTCTCAAATTTTAAAAATACTTAAAGTAAAGCTCTATAGCTTGTATGTCTTATACTGTGGTCTATAGCATTTTGCTTTGGCTGTTAAAAAACAACCCAACTAACACAACCATCATGATATGTCTAACTTTGCTAAAACTATATAACCTATTCTAAAGTTAGTATTGTGAATACATTTCTTGGTTTCATTACCTGATTCAGAAAAATCATAAAGGTATATGTCAATTATCACATTCTGTGTGTTTTAGTGACTTACAACGTAAGAACTCCTCCCTGGTCTTAGGTTCAGTATTGGGAATGATGTTGATGTATGTTACTAGGAAAATAACACAATTAATTAGAACAATTCTAATAATTATACAACAAGTAGGTAACATTTTACAATACTGTTCTGTCATTAATGAATAACTACATAGAACAAATTAGTAACACAATATTAACATTCTAGTTACTATTTAAAGGTGGGATCAGTATTTTTTGAAAAAACACTTTTGATCAATGTTGATATTTAAAAATCACCAAAACAAACATACCCTGACTTAAAATGATCTCGCCCCTAATTTGATAGCTCCACCCCACACCGTAACCCAGGCAACGACTATGGCGGAATCTGCTGTACAGGCGAGGGTAAGTGAAAGTAATCCATGTCGAATAGATATAATAGATATAGATATTAGATCCATTACTTCACTTCGGTCATTTAAACAATCTTTATTACTTTATTTAAAAGTATACTGCTCATGCTATCATTGAAACTGGTGTTGTAGTTTTGTGTATTGTTGTGTATTGTTGCTTATATGTATATGTGTGTATGTATATGTATACATTTCTTCTTCTTTTTTTGTTGGTGTCTTGTTTGATCTATTGTAAATTGTAATTTTGTTATGTTTTTGCTAATCTTAATTGTTTCACTGTAAGGACCCCCTCGAAAACGAGATGATACATGTCAAGGTGTTAATCCTAATAAATTCTAATAATAATAATAATGTGTTTTAGTAGTAATGATGCTCCTAATCTGCTCCTCAGATTGCTCTGCTTTCACGAAGACGGCCATCTTAAGCCCTTCGGTCTCGGTTTTTCTGGCCCATGTAATTCGGATTTATCATCAGCATTCGTCATCTGCACTTCAGTGACTGAGAGTAGTGCCATTGCGGTTCACCGCTCCTTGTGGTGAAGTGCCATGGAGTTTCTTTATTGCCTGCCGCCATGCGTTCGCTTTATTGCGAACGATGACCCTCACAGTAAGTGTGTTAAATGTATGGGGTTTTCACATGCGATCGAGGCTGTTTTAGGCTTCTTTGAATGCAAGTTCTGTGACAACCTGCTCAAAACCCTCCGCTCTTGGCTCGCAGTTTTTTGAGAAGGAGTCATTCGTTCCCCCCCGTCGTGCTCCCAAGGCTGCCGTGGCCTCGTTGGAATCCGCAACCTGGGGCTCGGATGTAGAGCTTGAGGATATAGAGTACGAGCAGACGGGCCAGGCCCTTTCTCTCCCTCCCTCTCCCGAACACGCACACTGTGTTTGGCCAGGCGAGTTTTTGCATGATTATTTATGCCCCTTTCGGCTGGAAGATATAATTTACACTACAGCGTCCGGGATTTCGTGCCTGCTTTAGCTACTGACAGTCTTCCGTCTAGCGGCCAAGGGGCGCGGCCTACTGCGGCCTAAACGGAGCTGATCGACGTGCTCTCGTGTGCTACAGAAAAGCTCTCTAAAGCTCTGGACGAGCCCCGCTAGTCACAATCATTTAATTCAAATCAAATTTGGGTTGACAACCCAGAGAACGTTCTTCTCATATGCGGGATTTTGCCACTGGAAGAAGTGACTCGGCTCATCCCCCACCTGCTATGGTTTGAGGAGCCCGCACTTGCCCGTTTCCCCGCCAGCGACCTCATAAGCGTCTGGAGCTAAAGCGGTCTAACAAACCCTTCGCTCTAGCCTCCTCTAATCGTTCCTGACCCGCAGAAAAAGTCAGAAAAAGGAGCGCTTCCCCCGATTTACGAGATTGGGACAGACCGCGCAAGTGTTTCTGTCCACCTCTCACTTGACAATATGGCGGTAGTGTCTCATGTAAACCGACAGGGGGGTTCATGGTCGCGCACCCTGGACAGGCATGCGTGCCACCTTCTCCTGTGGTCTCAGGGCAAGTTCCTTTCACTGAAGACAGTCCATGTTCCTGGGGTCCTGAACCTCGCAGCAGATTTTCTGTCGATGCAGAAGCTCAAGTCGGGGGAATGGATGTTGAACCGCCAAACAGTAGCCCTGATGTGGGAAGTGTTTGGGAAAGCAGAAGTGGACCTCTTTGCATCACAGGAGTCATCCCAACGCACACTTTGCTTCTCCCTGAATCCCCCAGCACCATTGGGGATGGATGCATTCACCCACAACATGGCCGATGCAGAAGCTTTATGCATTCTCGCTTGTCAAGTTGATCCAGGCAGTTCTGTCCAGAGTGAGGGAAAGTGGAGCCCATCTCCTACTTGTAGCCCCATTCTGGCCGTCCCAGCCATGGTTCTCAGAGCTGGTTCCTCTTCTGGAACTCCCCCATTGGGAGATTCCGGTCAGGGAGGATCTACTGTCCCAGCTTCAGGGCAGGATATGGCATCCTCGCCCCAAAATGTGGAAGTTATGCGTGTGGCCCATCAGAGGTCGCTAGCTTTGAACTTTGGTCTTCCCGCTGACGTCCAGGAGACCGTTGCGAATGCGAGAGCCCCTTCCAAGAGGAGGTTATATTCCTCCAAGTGGAGGGTTTTTGAGTCGTGGTGTTCGACACACGCTACGGACCCAGTCAGCTGCCCAGTCGGTTCAATGCTGGAATTCCTAGGAGAAGTTTGCTTCTGGAGTGGCCGCTACTACTCTGAGAGTGTATGTTGCTGCTATTGCCGCTCATAAAGAATCGGAAGGGAGATCCAAGGTATTGTCCACAGCATTCCGGTCCCAGGTTATTAACCTTCACTCTATCCATCCTCCTCCTATTTTCTCTGAGGAGGACAGGAAGCTTAATTTGCTCTGCCCTGTCCAAGCATTGAAGTTACATGGATCGATCCAGCTCTTGGTATATTTTGGCGCTGGCCGCCGCGGGCTTGCCGCATTAAAGCAGAGAATTTCCCACTGGGGGCCCGTTTCAATAAGGAGGCTCAACCAACTCTGAGTTAAAGCTTGAACTCTGAGTTGACTTACCCTGAGATGGGAAACTCTGAGTTTTCGGTTACAGAACAGCTGAAATGAGTTAGTTCAATCAACTCTGAGTTGACTGACTCTGAGTTAAGCGCGTGCACCACAACTATAAAAAGCCATTATCAATGGAGCGCAGATATTATGAGTCACCATGGCAACAGCGCCAGACAAAAAGAGGTGTTAGGTGTAATTAATTAACAAGTGATCTAAATATTGTAATTTAATTAAGGGGGTTACTCTTAATTCTTCTGTAATTTAAAATAAAATATGATGCAATTACATTAAAAAAGCTACTGCATAAACTATAGAACAATTCAGTATAAAACAATAGTGCATTTAACATACATTTTTAAAAGTTATATGTTTTATGTAACCTTCTCCCTCTACACACTTTGATCAATTCAAGAATAATTCATGCAATTGTATATTGTTAATCTGAAAGATTTAAAAGTGCTGTTTCTTGTCTCTTCTCTTTGTGTTAATCAAGTAGTTGAGGTTGATATAGGATTTAGTAATATGTAGACCAATACTTTCTAGAGATAGTAAGTATTACATTAATCTAACTACACTGTTTAAGATGTCATTTGTGGTTAATAATTCATAACTATTTTACAGTAACTTACTGTTATAATATCAGAGGTGAAACTGGAAGAATGTTATTCAACCTAAAGTAGGCTACTATTACTTTGATACATTTTTACTTAAGTAAAAATACCAGTCTAAAAATCTAAAAAGTAAAAAGTAGTTAATTTAAAACAGTAAAAGTTGCTGAGTAACTTGTTTAACAGTGGGGGTGGTGTGCGGGACTCCCCCATGTGGGGTATGAGAGTTTTACAGTATAAGAACCGTCTCAGAAAATATCACGGTTTATGGTATTAAACAATTATTAAATATATAAACAGCATTATTAAATTACGGTTATTATTATTATCATCAGTTAAAATGAAAATGAGTTAAATAAATTAAACATTTGTTCAATAAAACATATGTAATCAACTAACTTCAATAATTGATTATGAATAAGATTAACATCTTATTTTTATCATTAATAACTTATTAAATTATGTTTGAAAAACAATTGAGTTCTATAAAATGTTTTTTTATTCCAATTTTTTAAATGATTTAATAGAAATATATTATAAAAAATGGTGGTAATCAAATAAAAGTTTAGCAAACGTTTTAATCCTTTTACTTTTTGGCAAATTGCTGCAAAACAGATTTAGTCAATTAAAACATGGACAAACAATATATATTCCTTAAAGAATGTGTAAATACATTTTATTGTTAGTGTTTAAACAGCACTTCCTCTTTAAAAAAGGGGAGGAGACCGCAAGAAACTCTGAGTTTACTAAAGAAAACCTGCTCCCGACCAGGTTAGGTTCACAGAGTAAGTTACCATGGTAACTGACTCTGAGTATAAGTTACCTCTCTTTCAGAAACGGGCTTGACTTACTCTGCTTTCTCGGGTTTGATATACCCACCTTTCTGAAACGGAAAACCCAGAGTTTCCCTCATTTCAGGGTTAACATACTCAGAGTTTTCACTTAACCTCCTTTCTGAAACGGGCCCCGGGTTACAGAGGCTATTTTATTGGCATATGAGGTGTGCGGTCTGCCTTCACCTCCTAGCGTCTGGGCACATTCTACCAGAGGCGTGGCTTCCTCTCAAGCACTTTTTGGAGTTGCCCTCCTGGAAGACATTTTTGTGGTGGCAGGCTGGTCTCTCCGCACACTTTTGTCAGATTCTACGGTTTGGATCTTGAAATGACTCCAGGTTCCCAAGTTTTATTTGCTTGAACCAGTCATGTGAGCTATCTGGTCTTTGTGCTAGTTACAGCAGCGCTTGGCTTGGCAAGTTTGGTATTCCGTTCCCACGGCATCTTAAGCTACGCAGCGTTGAGTGAACCTATGACAGAGAACGTCTCTGGTGACTGATGTAACATGTTCTTGGAATAGGGAACGAGACGCTGCATTCGCTGCCGAGCTCCTACAAGCTTCCTTTTTCGGTAGAGAAATCTGAGGAGCAGATGACTGGCGCTAATATAATATGACGACGAAAGAGTGTCGGGGCAGCGCCCGCGCCATCAGCCAATGAATTGGCGTGATTCTATAAGGGTTTCAGATAATCGGCACACACAGAGGGCGCTTCCCACTGCGTCTTAAGCTACTCAGCGTCTCATTCCCTATTCAGAGAACATAGGTTACATCAGTAACCAGAGACGTTTTAACGCGTCAATGGTTCAGCTCCGTTTCACATGGACGACGACGCTCAACGCTCACAAAAGTTATCATGATCAACTCGATAGCATGACAGTCCTAGTAACGAATAAGCTATATTACAACTATAACAAGATTAGGGGGTTATATTGATCTCTAAATGAGGAACGAAAGGAATATTATCGTACTTTTCAAACACACGTTTGGGAGTCGATGTTTGAAACACACAGTGGAGGAGGTTTAAAGAGGAAATGAAGCAGTGAATCAAGTTAACTTGATTTACACGATGGATTTCCAATATAATCAACAATTATATAAGAAACATTACAAATGTAAACATTTAGAAGAAAAAAGGAAAAAACTGCATCTTTCGCCGCCAGGGCGCCGCCATTGTGCAGTTGACGTCACGGGGTTGGTTGGCTCAAGTTTAACAGGCTCTGGGCAGTGAAAATCACGACATCAAACTGTGTTTACACCAGTGTTTTGACTGCGAACGACTAATGTTAGGTACAGTCATTAGACAAAAAGACGACGTCTCATGTTATATGTTGACAAACTGCACATAGAAACATTGTTCGCGATGTCTGCCGTCAGATATTCTCAACTGCACAATGGCGGCGCCCTGGCGGCGAAAGATGCAAAGTTTTTTCTTCTTTTCTTCTAAATGTTTACATTTGTAATGTTTCTTATATAATTGTTGATTATATTGGAAATCTATCTTGTAAATCATGTAAACTTGATTCACTGCTTAATTTCCCCTTTAAACACTCCAGTGTCTTTTTCATAGCTGAATTGAATGAGAATAATATCGCAAAACTACTGGGTTACCAAAGAAATGATTAATTCCTTTAAAAGAATGTAGTAACACTTGCGTCATTACTATCCAAAACCTTACAAAATTCTTACACTGACTGTCATTACTAGAGTTATCATACGTTTTACTTTAGAATACTGATCTAAATAATTAGTAATTCCTTCTGAAGAAATTGGTAATACTTGAGTCCTTCCTCAAGTATTAGGTTACTATGATCTTCACTTTTGAATTAATTTTACATTATGCATTATTCACATTAATTATGAACCTGTATACAGTAGCTCGTTGTAGTCCGCTGGTAGTTTAAAAAAATAGTAGTTATTGATTAGAAAATCGTGAACTACCACATTCAACTAGAGAATAGTAATTCAATTAGTGTTACTTACTAATTCATTTCTTGTTAGTTAGTAGTAGTTATGTTACTCATTTGTTCATGTGTTTGTTCATTAATGATGGAACAGTATTCTAATGTATTAAGAAAATGTTTTTGCCGCTTTACCTTGACCACATATTTTCTCCATCTCCTCTTTACAGAACTTCTCCAGTTGTTCTTTCAGTTGAGAGACAGATTTTCTCACATCATTATAAAGGTGGACAGAACTTCTGGTAACTCTGGGTACGCTTGATGATTCCAGAGCTTCAGAGAGAGTCTGGAAACTCTAGAGAAAATAAATAAACAGAAACATTAAAGATACAAAGACACAAAAGTTTTATAAGCATCCTCCCCAAAATTTGTATTACACTTATATTTCCAAATTAATCTGTAGTGATTCTGTCCATCCATCAACTTTCAAGCAACTTTTAACCATTCAATTTGCTACTTACACGCTGTCTGAGATGGTTTTCTGTGCACACACATCAGAAGCACATGCACAGAAAGCCGACTCTTAGATAGCGTGTAGAACTCCGAATTGAGTTCTCTTTTTATGCTTTTTATGTTCTTGTCTTTTAGTGAATTAATTCTTAAAGTGACAGCAGCGTAATATTCCGGCTGCTGTCTGTTTCATTCATTTAATTAAATTAATGAACTAAATAAAAGACAAACATAAAAACACTCACTGCTCTTGACTGAATAACTTTATTAAGGATTAATCTATATTTCATGTATATAGACTATGCAATTTCTGTAACTGAATACTTAGACATATAAAACTTAAAGCACTGTTTTATTCATTTGTAATTTTGTTCTATTCCATTGTTTGTGTTATTACTTGAGGACAAGGATAGTGTTTTCTCTTTAATAATGTCTGAAGTTTATATTAGTAGGCTAGTAGTTTTGGTGTGGTGGTATCGAAATTGGAATCTAGCCTTGTGAAATTTCATTTGTAATTTAAATATAAAAACCTGTCCGTAGAGTTAATGAAATTATTAAAATAAGAACACAATACTAACCACAGATGGTTAGAATGTGGCAAGGAATTCTGTCAGGTGTTGTCAGGTGTCATGTGTTGTTATGAAAATTGCGTGCTATGTTATCTTTATGTATTTAAAAGTTAAGAGAGAAGGGGGAGGTCTATAACATTTTCCAGTTTGTATTCTTCAACAGCCCTCATTTAAATGAAAGTCAATGGGAGGTCGAGCATTCTCTGTTTTAGTTCCATGATTATGGAATGCTCTTCCCTGGGTGATAAGAGATTCGCCAACACTGGACTGTTTGAAGAAGTCTCCAATAATCATTTAAAATATGCTTATTGTTTTTGAATGTTTTTTATTTTCTTGTTTGTAATCTTGTTTTTGTATTACTGTTTTTATATTATTGTTACAGAGATTTGAGGATTAACAGTTTTTGGGTATTAGACAAAACTTGAACTGATTTAAGTGCCACAAAAACATCTCATGATCTGGGTCTGGTTAAGCACAAGGATCTAACATTTGAATTGTTATTTTTGTGGCTCAGATCATTAATGTTACAGTAAAATGAGAAAATGAAAAGACTTATGCATGACCACTGCACTGTTCTATTGATCACATCTCAGTTACCTGTAGGAAATGTATGTGATCATCAGTGAGTGAAAGCTGCTTCAGCTCAGCTTCTCTCCTACTCAGATCATCAATCTCCTTCTCCAGTCGCTTCAAGAGTCCTTCAGCTCGACTCACTGCATCCTTTTCCTGATCTCTGATCATCCGTGTCGCCTCAGATCGGCTTCTCTCAATGGAGCGGATCAGTTCAGTAAAGATCCTCTCACTGTCCTGCACTGCTGCATGTGCAGAGCGCTGTTGAGACACACAAACAATCAGACCTTTCGCTCAACATCAGTCTATTAAACACAGTGGGATACAGTAGAGCTGGAAACTCATCTAACACTGAGCTCTGACTGGTTAATGTGAACGCTACGTCTAAGTCTCACCTTGTGAGTCTTTATAGCCTCTCTGAGCTCCTGAAGCTTCTTCTGTGTCTCTTGGATTCTGCGCTGGAATTTCCGTGGTATCTCTCCAACCTTTTTCTGAGGAACAAAAAATAACTGTAATCCTCCTCAATTACTTAAATAAGTGAGGAGATAATTTTTTTTCTTTGGATATTGCAAATGAAGTTTTTGATTATTGTGTGAAAATGTCATCATTAATTGCCTTATTGGCATAACTTCAAGAATTAATATATCTATTTTCAATTTATACCTCTTTCTCTGCTTCAGCTGAAACAGTATCATGATTTTTGTGTTCTTCCATCGCACACCTGAAACAAATACATTTCTGGTCAGTACGGCAGTAAACCTCCATCAGTCTGTCGTGTTTAGAGCAGATCATCTCCTGCAGTCGTCCAGTGGCATCAGTCACTTTGTGTCGTTTCCTTGAATGGGATTCTTCATGACACTCAAAGTGACTTTGACAGTATGATTCGAGACACATCAGACAGGACTTTACAGCTTTGCGTTTCCTTCCAGTGCAGACGTCACACTCCACATCTCCAGGTCCAGCATAACTGAGAGCAGGACGAGCTGTTTGAACTTTTGTCTTCTTCAGTTTCTCAACCACCTCAGCCAGCATGGTATTTTTACCTAAAACAGGTCTTGGAGTGAAGGTCTTTCTGCACTGAGGGCAGCTGTAAACTCTCTTCTGATCCTCTTTATTCCAGCAGTCTTTAATGCAGATCATACAGTAACTGTGTCCACAGGTGATGGTCACTGGATCCTTCAGTAGATCCAAACAGATTGAACAGCTGAACTGATCCCGAGCCACTGAAATACTGGATTCTGCCATTTTACTGTACAGACACACAGATAGACAGATACAGAAAGCAGCTTAGGTTTCGTTTTCTCTGAAATGAACAGCTGAAATAGATTCAAAGTGTTTAAGCGACGTGTGCAAAACAGGTATGCCTGGTTTGATTCACCTGTCTTTTAGTTCAGATAATAAAGAACAAATAGGTGTCAGTTTCTCGCTGGTGCCATGCTTTTATAAAACTGTTCTCTATGGGGAGAGAACACTGAGTAAGAACATTGTCTTTCCACTTGTATTATTGTGTTGTTATCTTGGAAATAGATAGTGTTTGAAAATAAATTACTTAAATTACCATCTTTACGGTCAAATTTGAACCTCTAAAATTTGGAAGCAAATTTGTAAAGTGAAATAAAATGGACCGAAAATTGCCAGTTGAATATTATAGTTTGTATTTTTAAACAGTTTAAAAAGTTTGAATGGAGATATTCACAGTTTAAATATGCATGTTGAATTTCAGCCAATAAAAACACAAGTCCTAAAAATAATGCATTAAAATGAAAGCATGGTTAATGCAATATATATATATTTCAATTAGTGCAATTCAACAGGCTTTTTTGTTTCAAAAAACATTTGACATTATTTTACTTCCATACTTTTTAGAGTAACTTAAGACTGGAATACATACACGACTTTTAAAACCTGAGCAAAAGTTGTACAGTGTAGCTATTCCAGCCTTTATCCGCCATTACCCCCAGATAACTTGGAATATAAAATAGGCTAGGCCTACGACACTTGTTGCATCATTCTATGATAGGCTACTTTTGCATCTTTTTAAAAAAGCTTGATGCTGGTCGCTATTCATTCATTAGGCCTACAATTTTTATTCTCCTTTTGTAGTTTATAAAAAGAAGGACATACGGCATTAACAACTAGGGAAACATTATAGTCATAATAAAAGCGTGTTTTTAAATAATAATATTTTTTTTTGTAATATCGATATACCATTTTTTAAAAAACGTTTTAATTATTAGGCTTTTTCTTTTAGCAAAAACTGTAGGCCCTAGGCTATTTTTTTACTAAAATACTGACAAGCATCGGAAAACAGTGTGTGAGCACTTGGCAGATGCCTGGATGTGTATTTACACAAACTGGTAACAGCTTGTACAAAAGGAAGCTGGAGCGCTGCTGGTGTCGCCCTTGTATCCTCTGGTGCTCTTGGAAGGGTTGAAAGTTCATAAAAATTGGAAAGAAATCCAAGTCCAGGCACTCAGGGTTACAAAAGTAAAAAAAAAAAAAGCCTTTATTAAATGATCGATGGCTAAACCATTAAAAAACACCAACGTGTATCGGCCCACTGGCCTTCATCAGGTATTCATTAGCCCTCGATCATTTAATAAAGGCCTTTTTTTTTTTTTTTACTTTTGTAACCCTGAGTGCCTGGACTTGAATTTCTTTCCAATTTTTATGGTAACAGCTTATGTTAGCCTACTACTTTCACTTTCTCAACGTACAAGGAAACGCTTTGGTATCAGATGAAGAGCAACTTATGGACTTGTATATTTCCATGTGCGTACATGAAAGTTGGAAGTCGGTACAGCTGTCTGTGTGGATCTTCTGATTGAATCTAGTACTCTAGGCTATTTAATAGGATTGCTTATTGCAAAACAGATTGGTTCTTATCAAGAGGTTAGTCACACCTTACAAACACACCTGTTTTGCACACGTCTCAAAAAGACAGGAAACACTTCTCAGTTGAGAGAAAATTTAGCGTTGGCTGTTGTTGTTCAGCCATTGTAGCCTATAGCTGTATCTGTGTGTCAGAGATTTCAGAGAAAACGAAACCTAAGCTGCTTTATGTATCTGTCTATCTGTGTCTGTACAGTAAAATGGCAGAATCCAGTATTTCAGTGGCTCGGGATCAGTTCAGCTGTTCAATCTGTTTGGATCTACTGAAGGATCCAGTGACGATCCCCTGTGGACACAGTTACTGCATGAGCTGCATTACAGACTGCTGGAATAAAGATGATCAGAAGAGAGTTTACAGCTGCCCTCAGTGCAGACAGACCTTCACTCCAAGACCTGCTTTAAACAAGAATGTGATGTTTGCTGGAATGGTGGACAACCTAAAGAAGACAAAAGTCCAAACAGCTCGTCCTGCTCTCAGTTATGCTGGACCTGGAGATGTGGAGTGTGACGTCTGCACTGGAAGGAAATGTAAAGCTGTAAAGTCCTGTCTGATGTGTTTGAACTCTTACTGTCAAAGTCACCTCGAACAACATGACAGTTTCTTTAAAGATAAAAAACACAATTTGATTAATGCCACTGGACGATTGCAGGAGATGATCTGTCCTCAACATGACAGGCTTCTGGAGGTTTACTGTCGCACTGACCAGCGATGTATTTGTATAAATTGTTTGATGGATGAACACAAAAATCACCACACTATTTCAATTAAAGCAGAGATGACTGAGAAACAGGTAGGAGAAGCACATAGGCTTTGTGGTGTGAAATTGTGTGTTCGTGATGCAATAGAGTAAGAGTTTACCGAAAAATGGACGTCAAGTGTAGAGGAACCAGACAATTCGCCGGAAAAGCAGCACAAACTCAGTCATAACAAATTCAAAGCACAAAGTCATAACAATGGTCTTTATGCTTTGAAAATATAGAAAATAGCAAATATATGTAGAGAATAGCAAAATATAAGTTGTTTCACGGACAATCTTCCTCTTCTCCAACAATCTGAAATGGATGAAAATTACAGATATGCAAGAACCATTGATGTTTGCCATTTAATTTTGCTGTCAAAATAGTATTTTCTATCCTGACCAGTAGAAATTTAATTCATTTCAGAGTGTTAGAGAAGAGGAAGGTTATCAGTGAATCATGACCTAAAATCACACAAAGTTATTGTATGACATCAGAAGATGCAGAAAAACCTGTATGGATTTAGTCCCTTTCAATTTTATTATACAGAAAATAATGTCTAGGATATTTTTCAAAACAATTTGTAGTCATACGGGTTTGAAACAACGTGAGGATAAGTAAATAAATGATGACAGAATTTTCATTTTGGTTAAACTATTCCTCTCAGGAGGATTGCTGATGTTTACTGTTATCTGTTACAGAAAGCCTTAGGTGACATTCAAAGAAAATTCCAGCAGAGAATCCAGGAAAGAGAGAAGGAGCTTCGGGAGCTGAAAGAGGCTGTGAAGACACATCAAGTGAGTTTTAATATTTAATGTGAAATGTTTCCAGTTCCAATAAAAACTTCAGTCGTTACATCATTGAGAGACCCAGTGTTGGGACACTTCCAGTTCCAGTCACTGAAGCCTATGAGTGAAAGGTCTGATTGTCTGTGTGTCCTAACAGCGCTCTGCACAGGCTGCACTAGAGGTCAGTGAGAGGATCTTTACTGAACTGATCCGCTCCATTAAGAAGAGCCAATCTGAGGTGACACGGATGATCAGAGATCAGGAAAAAGCACAAGTGAGTCGAGCTGAAGGACTCTTGAAGCGACTGGAGAAGGAGATTGATGATCTGAGGAGGAGAGAAGCTGAGCTGAAGCAGCTTTCACACACTGACAATCATATCCATTTCCTTCAGGTAACTGAGTGAACTTTAGGATGATATTACTACAGGGAGGTCATTAAAACATAACATTTAATTGACCCTAAATGACATAACATTTAAACTGAAACATTAGGTTGTAAGCCGAAAGCAGTTGTTATTTTGGCAGGAATGGTGTCATGAGGTAAGTTGTGTGTTGTGTATGTATGTTTAATATGTAATAGTCTCTATGTTTTTGTCCCTTTGTAGAGTTTCCCGTCTCTCTCTGTTCCTCCTGCATTCACAGAAAGCATCAATATCAGTTCTTTCCTCTCTTATGATGATGTTGAAAAATCTGTGTCTATGCTAAGAGAGAAACTTGAGGACCTCTGCAATGAGGACATAAAACAGATATCTGGTAAAGGTAGGCTAAAGTACTAGGAATTTGATAACTTTAAAGGAGTGATGTATCATAATAACTACAAAAACAATCTGAGAGACCATTATTAACCCTTGTGCTGCATTAGATTTTTAACACCGTTGAGTGCATTAAGGACCAAAAATGGCCACATATTAAACATTGCCTAAAATATTATTTATTATTATTATTTTCCACTTTTACCAAGTTAAATCTTTTAACCAGCATCAGTCCTTATTATAACTACCAAAAATGTATTCAATTTCAGGATTTTAACCCTTTAATTACCAGTTTTGTTTGCGAAACCATCGATTTGTATAAGAGGAAAAAACACAAAAATTCAATTATTTTCAATATACTAAATGCAAAGAGAAAATTTTAGATTTGGATTATCACAGTCCCACTTTGCAAAAAATCCCACTTAGCGCGTTAGAGACCAAAAATGGCCACCTATTAAACATTGCCTATTGCTAGGTGCATTTCCACCCATAGGGAATAAATATGTAGTGACGTCATCTGGTGAAATACACTATATAATGCAAATATAATGCTTTTGCTTCAAAATGAAAGGATGTTTGTGCAAAAATCATGTTTCATGTATTACTGATAGCCTCAGATTTAAACAACGTTTTAATGGGTTTCAATGGGCCATTTTTGGTCTTTATGGTGCCGAGTGTTACTATTTGATCTACACAGTGTGTGTTATACATATTTTGCAAAATGGGATCACATTTTTTACATGTATCCAAAAAGTCACAATTTTGCCAAATTTCATACCATTTGCATTAAAACAGCCAAAATGGTCAAAGAAATTAAACTGCAAAAGACCAAAAATGTCCCTAATGCAGCATAAGGGTTAATGGAATTGATTTAATATTGTGTTTACATGTCTTGGTTTCATTAGTGACATACATTGAGATTGTCACCACCACTGAACCCAGGTCCAGAGATGACTTCTTGCAATGTAAGTGTTACTCATACACAAGAGTCCGACATTTATAGATTCTCAAGAAGTATAAATCAGTTGTTAGTCTGAATTGTATTTATCATCTACATCTAATTTTCTAGCACACAACACTATGGTACTGGTGCAACTTTGTTCAGTGTCATTTTTTGCCCCGTTCAGATTGCCATCAACTAACCTTGGATTCGAACACTGCACATAAATACCTCCGTCTTTCTGAAGGCAACAGAGTGGCTACTTTTATTGGGGCTGACCAGCTGTACCCTGTTCATCCGCACAGATTTCATGTTTTTTCTCAGGTGTTGTGTAGAGAGAGTGTGTGTGGACGCTGCTACTGGGAGGTGGAGTGGAGTGGTGGGGTGGGAATATCGGTGTCATATAAGAGCATCAGCAGGAAAGGAGATGGTGAAGATTGTGTCTTTGGATTTAATGATCAGTCCTGGAGATTGTCCTGCTCTGACTCCAGGTTTGCGTTCAGACACAATCAGAAAGAAATGAAACTCCCTGTAGTCCACAGCTCCTCTAGAATAGGAGTGTATGTGGATCATAGTGCAGGAATTCTTGCCTTCTACAGCGTCTCTGACACAATGACCCTCATCCACAGAATCCAGACCGTATTCACTCAGCCGCTCTATCCGGGGTTTGGGGTCAATTTAGGATCAACAGTGAAACTCTCATCTTAAGAGATTCATATTACAGATCATGATAAAAGGGATGGGTATTTGTAGTTAGCAGTGTCCTCTCTCCAGTGACAGTCCTGTATAGTTAAATCCGGACACTGATTTACCACAAAATGTACAGGTAAATCTGTGTCTGATGCCAATTAATCAATAAATAAAAACTGGCCACGGATCTATTGAAGGATCCAGGGACCGTCCCCTGTGAACACTGTACTTTTTCACTGTACTAAAAAAGAGTTGTTCATTATTGTTATTATTATTATTAATGAATTATAAATGGATTACTTTGCTGCTAATATCCACAACTACAGTATGTACTTCAAATCACTGAACTAACTGAATTATTTTTTTAATATCTGCATCTAACTCAGATGTCTTTAGAATTATATAAAAATATAAATTAAAATAAATAAAATTTAACTACTGATGAAAATACACCTTGAAAATATTACAGTATTTTACAGAATGCTTTGACGAGATAAACGACTCTTGCGAAATTACTTTGATACCAAGGACATTGTTTTTAATAAATTTCATCGACTGGGTTGGCCAATCAGAAACTAGCACCAAAATGTTGCATAATTACACAATAAAGTTCAAACGTTTATTTTGTGTGTATTTTCTCTTTTTTTTTTGCCATACAGTAGTTAATCACAATTAATCAATTTTGTTGTTTTAATGTATGATTTTAGATTCGATTACAAAAATAGTGACATTCCCTAGGCGCAAGCATTTAAAACAAAACAGTGCGTTTGAGCGCCATCTACTGTTCCTTTTTGGCTGTGTATTTTCACATACTGGTGAGCTACTTTTTCGAACGCAGAAGGTATCAGAATCAGATAAGGACTTATTGTAAGCTAGCTAGTCTATATTAAAAAAAAATTAAACATACAGTATCAAATTGGAAGTGAATATTTATGTTGCTGGCTCAGCTGTTTGTGTAGCCTATCTGATTCTAGTATTGAATCAAGGTTGCTAGCCTATGTAAGTAGCCTATTTTTATAACTACTAAGCTAATTGCAACAAGTGAATGATCTGAGAAAAACAGTCAGACTCGTACTATGTCCTTTACTCCTTTATGAACAAAAGGTGATTCACACCATACAAACACACCTCTTTTGCACACGTCTCGAGACAGGAAACGCTCAGTTGAGAGAAACTGAAACTTAAGTGTTGTTCAGCTGTTGTCTGGCTGTATCCTGTGTTGAAATGGCAGAAGCCAGTATTTCAGTGGCTGAAGAAGATCAGTTCAGCTGTTCAATCTGCCTGGATCCACTGAAGGATCCAGTGACGATCCCCTGTGGACACAGTTACTGTATGATCTGCATTACAGACTGCTGGAATAAAGATGATCAGAAGAGAGTTTCCAGCTGCCCTCAGTGCAGACAGACCTTCACTCCAAGACCTGTTTTAAACAAGAATGTGATGCTGGCTGAAATGGTGGAAACACTTATGAAGACAAAAGTTCAAACACCTCGTCCTGCTCTCAGTTATGCTGGACCTGGAGATGTGCAGTGTGACGTCTGCACTGGAAGGAAACGCAAAGCTGTAAAGTCCTGTCTGATGTGTCTCGAATCATACTGTCAAAGTCACTTTGAGTGTCATGAAGAATTTCGTTCAAGGAAACGACACAAAGTGACTGATGCCACTGGACGACTGCAGGACATGATCTGTCCTCAACATGAAAGACTGATGGAGGTTTACTGTCGTACTGACCAGTGCTGTATTTGTTTGATGTGTGTGGTGGATGACCACAAAAATCACGATACTGTTTCAACTAAAGCAGAGAGAAAGGAGAAACAGGTATGTAATGTATGTAAGAAACAGGTATGTAGGTATATAAATCTAATCAATTTAATTTGTACTAAAATTGCGTTATTGTTTATGCATTGTAAATTATTATTAGTGTCCAGACATGTTCACAAGTCTCAAGTTTTTGTTCTATTTCAAGCAAATTATTTCAGCTAATTTGCAGTGTATGAGGCTAAACAGAGTTACGAGGCTAAATTATCAAAATATTAAAACCATTAATTCTACGGAAGGTCTTCATTTATTCAAAATTATGAAGGGTTAAAAATCGTCTTAAAATCGACATTACATCATTTGGAACGCAAAGACAGTCATCACGAGGAAAATAAAAATGCTATAATTTTGAGATATTTGACTTGCCGCTTGCATGCTCTCAAGCAATGGTTAGCCTACTTTTGTTTTACTGTGAGCATCGGTGGTAACAAAACCATAGACAGTAAAAGAAAGGGAACAAAACCCCCGTGTATGTCTATGGATTACAGTATACAGTATGTTTATACATCTAAGCATTAGGCTACAGTAAACAATACAAAAAAAACATTCCTATTGTTAAGTCGATTAAATAACTCACTCCGACTCAACAAACCGATCTGCGTATGGAAATGTCTGACAATTAGGTTACAGGCACAGCTCTTACTGGCCTACGTCTGTTACACTCACCCCACTAAACCTCACTCCCACCTGGGTCACGGCACCAAAAGTACACTACTACTTACCCCACTCCGAGCAGGATTCAAACGGGGAGACAGGCACGCTAACTGCAGCTCTTTATGGCCTTCTACTGTTACACATACTTGGATATTCTGTGCATATGGTAGCAAATACATTAAAAAAAAAAAACATTAAAATGAACTTTGAAACGTGTAGCCTACTTCCTGAAAATCGACAACAAGTCTCTGGCAGATGTGCAACCACAGCTTCTCTTTTGAGTAATTGGTTGTTTTTCAAATTAAATGACATGAAGATTTTCATGTTAAGACCGTTAGCCTAAGACTTGACTATACTGTTATTGCCATTGTTAATTTATAAACAGCACTTTTACAATGAGTGATTAACACACACACACACACACACACACACACACACCTAATGCTGTCTTGTTGTGATTAGAGCTTGTTGTGATTAGAAATTGTGTTGCTGCACCTCATATTGATAGGGAATGAATGAATGGTAAAGTGTGGTGTTTCTTGCTGTCAAGATCAGAGAACGAAATCGTGAATCAAGTCGCAGCCTTACTTTGTAGCCTTAGTATAGTATTTCATTAGAACTTTAGTTTTGGCTCTGGTTCATTTGCTGTGTGTTTATTTTTCTTTCTTTTTGCGAAGTCTTTATCAGAGCAACGGAAAGGTGAACAAATGTAATTGTTTCATAAAAATATTTAATGATATAGATAAATTCCAGTAAAAAACAAATATCTAGATGTAGTAGATGAAATCTTTAAAGTCCTATTGAGAGAAAAACTTTTCTAGTGTTTATAATTATTTGTTCATTTTCACAGAAACGGGTTGAAGAGACAGTAATAATATTCCAGAAGAGAATTCAGGAGAGGCAAACAAAGCTCCAGGAGCTCAGAGAGTCTGTGCAGACTCACAGGGTGAGTTTTGAAAAGACGAGAAAAATAACTCTCAGACTGAATGGACTGATTCTAGTTGGTTCTCTCTCTCTCTCTCTCTCTCTGTGTGTGTGTGTGTGTCCTTACAGCGCTCTGCACAGGCTGCTGTGCAGGACAGTGAGAAGATCTTTACTGAACTGATCCGCTCCATTAAGAAACGCCGATCTGAGGTGACACGGATGATCAGAGATCAGGAAAAGGATGCAGTGAGTCGAGCTGAAGGACTCTTGAAGCGACTGGAGCAGGAGATTGATGATCTGAGGAGGAGAGAAGCTGAGCTGAAGCAGCTTTCACACACTGATGATCACATTCATTTCCTACAGGTTTAGAATGTTTTTATTATTACGGCTTATTACAGGAGACTCTTTTATTAACATTAGATTTGAGATGAATAATCACATTCATTTAATGAATGTGAGAACAACTGCCAGTTGTTCTGATCAGTGTGAATGTCTAGGTTGTATTAGATCAGGTATTCCCAAACTTTTCTGTCAGCTGACCCCCGTAACTCAAATATTGACTTGAAGGTAGATTTAGTAAAGCTTTAAAACCAGATTGAAACGTTTCATGGAGAGAATTTACAGTCAAGTATGATTGTAATTGAGTCAGTGCAACTCTTTCATGATTCTTTGAAATAAAAGGTAGATTAGAAATTGGATGTAAGTTAGAAAAAGAGGAAGGTCACAAATTTGTTTTAATAAGATATGGCCTCACCACAGCAACTTTAAGGCTGTTAGTGAAGGAACCCATAGATAATAACCAATAACAGGCCAGGACTAACTGTGTCCATAATTTGTCTCAGGTAAAAATGTGGAATAATATCCTGAGGAAAGATTGTAGGTTTTAGGTGATCTACTTTCAATCAGTCCAGATCAATCAGCTCAAACTCAGACCAGATGGACAAACATAATGGAACATCTATACATAGTTAGACAACTGAGATCTTAAAGTTGTGATCAGTTGAAAAACTTGAAGGTTTTAAGTTAATATTTCAATGATTTAAAAGCATAATCACATGCCCATCATCTCACCATCTGTTGATGGTCACATGACATGCAAGTAAGCAAATAAAATACTTAATCTTTACACAAATATGATTCATATTTACCTGTATGTCTGTTGTCATCTTGCAAATATAGAGATTCCAGTCTGTTTCCGGCCCTCCTGCATCTACAGACTGCACCACTGTCCGTTCTGTCTGGACTTATGATGATGCAAGAAGATCTGTATCTCTGTTAAGAAGTACATTTGAGAATTTCTGCAAAGAGGAGATGGAGAAGTTATCTGGTAAAGTACAGACTCATCTCATAAAGCACAGTGCGACAAAATATACAAATAAATATTGTGTGGATGTCAATAAAAACATAAAAATTATCAATAGCAATAAATTGTTGTTAATAATAATTAATACATTATTGTTATTAATAAATACATATTATGGATACTTTTGGATCAGCAGAAATCACACTTCAAATATCTGTTTGTATCACTTTAAAAATTTGTTTCTAGTGAAACACATCAAAATGACTGAACCCAGAACCAGGGAGGACTTCTTACACTGTAAGTGTTAATATTAATACAACTAAAACAAACACAGACTAAAATACATGCTTAAACTTTAATTTATGTCACAAAAATACAATTTACACTTTTAAACTAAACATCTAATCAAATCATTTTACTTGAAAAACTTGTGGAATACATCACATTTATATCCTTGATTGTTGCCTCACTTAATGATTTGAAGGTATTTCAACAAATGCAATCTGCGTTTTATCTCCATCAGATTCACAACAGTTAACTCTGGATTCTGAGTCAGTGCATAAACGTCTCTGTCTGTCTGAGGAAAACACAATGGCTACTTGTGCTGACACAATCCAACTGTATCCTAATCATCCGGACAGATTTGATGTTTGGCCTCAGGTGTTGTGTAGAGAGAGTGTGTGTGGACGATGTTACTGGGAGGTGGAGTGGAGTGGTGCTGTGGGACTATCAGTGTCATATAAGAGCATCAGCAGGAAAGGACAGGGTGATGAGTGTAAATTTGGAAGTAATAATCAGTCCTGGAGATTATTTTGCACTAGCTCTGGGTACATATATAGTCACAATAACAACAAATCTGGACACCCTGTAGTCTACAGCTCCTCTAGAATAGGAGTGTATGTGGATCACAGTGCAGGAATTCTGTCCTTTTACAGCGTCTCTGACACAATGACCCTCATCCACAAAGTCCAGACCGTATTCACTCAGCCGCTCTATCCAGGGTTTGGGGTCAATCAGGAATCATCAGTAAAACTGTGCCATCGAGAAGTATAGATAATATATAAAATGATCACAATCATATGGCAGTTAGTCTCTTATCGGGTCAGTTAATTTGATTGTAGTGTACATATTAATTTGTATGTAAAAAAATAATGACAATACATTATATCAGTACCTGCCATATTATTTTGCAGTTTTATTTTAACATTAAATATCACAAGTAACTGAAATTCTCCATTTCACTTTAGCTTTATTAAAATTTTAAATCATTATAGGCTACTTTTCCGATTGATAGATTACTTTACTACATTGTTCTTAGACAATACATAATCAAAAACAATTATCGATTTCTCAATTGTCTAAAATTATCAGGCACTGTACCTGCACTGTGACATTTTGCATTTTGACATTAGGCTACATGAACAAAATTAAATCTATATTATTTTGAACTGTTATGGCTATATCGTTTGACCACTCAGGATCCAAACATGGCGAATAAAAAACTCAGCATTTCTAGGACAAACAGTGGCTACTCGCAAGCACACAGTCCATGCATCCCGATCATCTGGACAGATTTGATGTTTTTTACTCAGGTGTTGTGTAGAGAGTGTGTGGAGTGGAGTGGGTATATCAGTGTAATATAGATCATCAGCAGGAACAGAAGGGACGGGGTGATGATCATTAGATGTAATGATCAGTACTGGATATTGTTCTGCTCTTGCTCCAAATATTTTCATCGCTTGAGTTTGCCTGCAACTTTGGAAGCAATTTATTCTTAAAAAAGTAATGGAGTTCACACATTTAATAAAAAAAATGCTTTAGTAATATTCCACAGTGTTTTATTGTCAAAATAGTTTTCTGTCAAGTAAATGATAAATAGACACAATCTCATATAAATGTTAAACATAGGCCACTATGCCATTTAACAATAACATCTTAATATAAATACATAAGAAAAATATAAAAACCCGTATAACACTTTTAAAGGCACATTTGTAATAACCTGATACACAGGTTTAATACTGGTCAAACTGTTTACTCCAGTCCAGTGAATATTTCTCACAGGAATTTTCAATTGTGACGGAAAGCAACAAGTCCCTCAGTCAGTTTACAAAGTCTTTTTGAGAAGTTCTGCATTTCCTATGTCGTAGTCATCATCACACTCGAGACAGTGGTATTTGTTTTGGGGGGTACAAAACCAAACTTGCTGTGCCGGATCTCCACGTCAGTCCCGTGCTCGCGTCACTGTACACTGACCCGCTCGTGCCTTTCCTAGCCCAACTGCAGCAGCAGCGCGTGCACAGGACTCGCCAAGAGTCCACCGTTTTACCGGACCAGGTCCACGCTCCTGACGTGATCCCGACCACAAGGCACATGAAGTATTTGAGCATTAACACGGCGTAATCAGGTTTGGCGGCTTTTTTCTCCGACGAGCAGTTGCACGCGTGCGCTCTTTCCCACGCTTCACGGTTGTGCTGTTCGTAAACGTAACAAGCCACAATCACCATGGCAACGACCGTATACAGCACTGTAAACACCCCGATACGGACCATCAATCTCTCGAGTTTGTCCGTTTTCGTTCCTCCTTGTTTAATGACGCTCCGTATCCTAAACATAGACACGAAGCCCGCGAATAAAAATATCGTTCCGATAAAAAGATAAATCACCAGTGGCGCGAGCACGAATCCTCGCAGGTTATCCAAGTTCTGGTTGCCGACGTAGCAGATTCCCGCAACCGAGTCTCCGTCCACCGAACTCAGCGCGAGCACGGCGATAGATTTCACGCTCGGAATGAGCCAAGCGGCTAAGTGAAAATACAGCGAGAATCGAGCGATTGCTTCATTTCCCCACTTCATTCCTGCCGCGAGGAACCACGTAAACGTCAGAATCACCCACCAGATGGCGCTCGCCATCCCAAAGAAATAGATGAGTAGAAACACAAGCGTGCAAAGCGCGGGACCCCTAGTTTCATAGTGGATAAGGTCCACCTCGTGATCCTGGTTGCACGCGACTCTTTCGTGCCCCGCGATGAGTCTGATGATGTATCCCACGGACACGAACATATAGCAGGCGGACAGGAAAATAATCGGGCGCTCGGGGTATTTAAACCTCTCAATGTCAATAAGGAAAGTGGCAACGGTGGCGAATGTTGACAGGAAACACAAAACCGACCAAATCCCGATCCAAAATGTGGCAAAGGTCCTTTCCTCCTGAGAAAGATATGGGCTGTGGCACGGCATGGCGCAATTGGGGATCTGGCCCGTCTTGACCCAGTTATATAAGGGATGGCGGTCATTGCTCACGGTCACCATAGGCGCGCGACAGTGACACTCCGGTTCACATGAAGGAGATCCAGGACTGCTTTTATTTTTCCGCTTGTATGGCTTCCCCGGGCGGCTAGTTGGTTTTGCAGCAGCAGGTGATGCTGTAGCATCAGTTCTGTTGTAGTCCATGCACAGAGTGTTTAAGTCCCCCTGCGCGGGTAGAAGATCGCACCTCATACGGTCCGGCCACGGGAACCCGTATTGCCTCATCAGCGGCGCGCAACCCGCTTTCGCCCGTTCGCACACACTCCTGCACGGCGGCAAAGGCTTCTTATAGTCCTCAAGGCAAATGGGCGTGTACAGACTGCAAAGAAAGAAGCGCAGGTCGGGGGAACACTGGATCTCCACGAGGGGCCAGAACTGGTGCACCTCAAGTCCGGCTTCATCCTGGGTGTCGTGGTTGAATTGGTTCGGCATGTAGGTGTAGTTATAGCCGATCCCTCTACACAATGGCACAGATATCTCCTGACAGACCGACTCACGAGCACACACGGAGCTCCACAGCAGGGCGCAGAGCGCGAGGGGAATCCAGAAGGTACCCCGCACAGGCGAATCCATCCTCGGTCACTTCTAGGATGTCTTCCTGCCTTCTAGGATGGTTTTGCATGTGCGCAGTTGTCGCCTGGTTTCTTAATTCTAATAATTAAAAATATATTACTCAACACTGTAGAATAACATGTTGTGTCTTCAAGCTGGCATCAAATGCAATTCAGTCGGCTACTACGTTTGTTTTGACTGTCAAATAGTCGAGCGCGTGTCTATTTATACAAAGGACAGCCCCCTTATCTCGGCGCCCAATCATAGGACACCAGGGGCGGGGCCCAATTGTAATTTAATCAAGCATCCCCTCAGAGTTTTGAGTAAATGTTTGCGCTGCCCACGGTTTGTATGTCTTAAATTATTTCACCTGTGTTTACATCCCACCCTGTGTCTAAACACGGGGCTTGTAGTTGTAAACAAGTCTCGCGGTATGTTTAGGTTGTTCATAATCTCTCCAGAATGTGTATCCTCTTATTGCATATGAGCTCACATTTAGTCTACATTAATAAGATTTAAAAGGAGACTAAAAGCAAGCGCTGTACCAACGAGACAAAATTATACTGGACAATAAAATGTAGTTGTTATCCCTGACCAGTACAAATGCCAGAATTCCTGCTGTTAATTCGCTATTTAATATGCCCCGGCCCGAAAATGTATTTGCACACATGCCACTTTTTATAAATCATTAGGCTATTTGTCATTGAATTTGAAAACTAACAAACCGGGCTACCAACCTACTTTTCGACTTTAGCAAAGTATTTTCGGAAAAGTTTGAAAACGATTGTTGAGGAAATCGTGAAAATGAATTAATTTAAAATGTAATTAATTTTAATGCACAGTGACGATGTTGAGTTAGGACTGAAATATGTTACAATGAGGTTGAGGAGTTCATAGGCTAACATTGACACAATCAAAAGTCATTGAAGAAAATGGTTAGTTAGTTCTAAAAAAAAAAACTGTAGCAGCATTTGTTTTCATATGTCACTTGCAATGAAACATTTTAAGTGTGACTTAAAACCACTTTTTGGGGTCACCGAACGCATCCAGACACGCGCGACTCCTCAAGCTAGAGAAGTTGAATGCGCGTGCGTGAGGACGGAGTGAGGGCTGTCGCGCGCTGCGAGTTAATAGGCTTGTTTGAGATGCGCCTCGCCTCGCCTGCAATGTAGTCGAGAGTAGGCGGCTGCAGTGAGGGGAGGAGTGAAAAAAGCGCAATCAAGCCGGACAGATCTAGGGTTCTCGCAGTGAATCAGACACCTGTGAGATCAAAGGCGGATATCGCGGGATTAACGGGATTCACGCTCGTGCACGTGTTGCTAATAAACTGGATGTGATTTAAGTTCTGTTGCTTTTATATAAAAATAAATAAAATGTAAATAAAACCCAAAGTACTTGTTATTTAATTACATTCCAAATAGCCTATGGTTTATCAATCTTTTTTTTTCTTATACAGACGTGTTTTTATATAGCCTATTGTTTTAACAAAAATGAAATATAACCCATATGGCACTGTCAGATAGTTTATTCACCCATAGCCTATGTATACACATAAAACATGATATCAGTTTTAAAATCAAACATTTTAAAAGAGAACAATTCATCTGGTGTTCTTTTATTTTTATTTATTTTACTTTTTTATTAGAATGCAAGTTACAAACATAGCCTACCTACAAGCACCACAATTCGTGAAACAAATAGGCCTATTATACAGCGACAAATACATAAACATCAGAATAAAATTAATAATAAAATAAATAAAAAAATCAAAATAAGCTTAGCTTAAATAGACAGACTTACAAACTTCATCATCTATAAAATGAGAGCTATTTTTCACTTGAACATTTTAGAGTAGGCCTAGTATATTTGAGTTACTGACTATAGCTTTCTTATTTTTAACCCGTTTAAGAGATTCACAATATAGATCAGTTTCAATTTGAAAAAAATAAATAAATAAAACATGGCCTTGATTTGGAGAATTTAGCTTAATGAATATGGAATTTACCTTCATCACTGTTGTTTAAACCAATGAGCATTAAGCTGTGTCGTCAGCAAGTCGTTTCCCATCATGCTTTTGATCAGCGCAGTCGGTGGAGAGCAACTGCGCGCGACTGCAGAAAAAAAAAAAAAAAAAAATCCGACCCTTCCGCCTTGCGCTCGCGAGAGTTTTTTGACATACATCGGCATGACATCAGAGCCAGGCGGACCGTTCTCGGACACATTTCTAACCGGCATGCATCTCGCGCTGATCACCGGTGATCGATTCTGCGCAGAATTTGCTCATCTCAAACAAGCCTCTTGTTCGCCGCATTGTGTTGTTGATGTTCCGTTTAGTGGCTCAGCGGGTGCTCGCTGCGGGGGACAATTACTGTACATCCTGGGACACACTGCGCATACAAACACAGTCACACCTCGTTCATTCAAGTCTGTTTAATGCAAGTCCAAAACAAATGTATTAATTATTTATTGATAGAAGTAGGGGAGGCAAGGACTGAATTACACTTTAGTAAATCTTTTTTTTTCCTTCCATGCAGTGAATATTTCTCAGGATTATATTATTTTGAAAGTAATTTTTTGCAAAGACACAAAACTTAAACATTTGGAAACAAAAAAAGAGAGAAAAAATCACCATATCGTGCAGCAGGGATTACATTTTGTAGGCCAGTGGAAACATATTTCCACTGGCTTTTGGAATAATGGAAAAAGTAAGCTCTATGACCAAAAAAAGTTTATGATTATTACACATTATATTCATTAAGATAATCTTCACAAATGAATAAAACATTTATGAATTTTGAAGTTTAAATACAATCAGTAAAACCATGGTCACGTATTTCAATCTCACTACCACTAAGCTTCTGAAAAATCTTTATTTAAATCTAAAAGATAAGGTCCAATTAGAATAGTTTGCAGGTGGGCTATAAACACAACAAAAGACTTGAGTA